GGCTGGCGAGAGGCTGTTCTCAGTGGTGGCAGGTGGCAGAACAAGGAGCAATGGGCTCAAGTTGTGGTGGGAGAGGTTCAGGTTGGATATTGGGAAAAACTATTTCCCTAGGCGGGTGGTGAAGCGCTGGGATGGGTTCCCTAGGGAAGTAGTGGAGTCTCCATCCCTAGAGGTGTTTAAGTCTCCGCTTGACAAAGCCCTGGCCGGGTTGATTTAGTTGGAATTGGTCCTGCCTAGAGCAGGGGGCTGGACTTGATGACCTTCTGAGGTCTCTTCCAGTTCTATGATTCTAATATACTCTTGAACATCTTATTTGAATGAGTTGCACTTAAGGAATGAATTTACATAACTGGACTGGACATTGTTGTTTATGGATGTTATATCATATCTCACATTTTACCAGAAAACTTTTAGAAATGTAGTTCATAAGACAGATTCTTTGGTACCAATCCTGCATATTCATGCGAGTAATTTATTCATGCAAGTTTATCATGAAAGTTTACCCACCCTGTTCAAGTTTACGGCTAAGCATACAAGTAAGGGTTAGAAGGATTGGAGCTTTATCTCCAAGTAAATTATTATTATCAAATAATTTACCCCCAAGTGCTCACCTGACAAGAGGAACAGAACATAATAGTTATATCGCTAATGCCATAATTTAATGCTGCGTAGCAATAATGAAATGACTAAAATAGTCAATACAATGAATATGGGCAGGATATATATAATATGCTTAGGTAACACCAGCTTTTAACCTCAACACAAAATTGAAAAATGTAATTAACTCAAAAAAATGTTGTTACGCTATTTGATCACCTCACTTTCCAGTAACTTTTCCTCTGTAACATTCCAAGGGCAGCCTATATTCTCTCTCATTCCTGAAGATAGAATAAAATACAAAATTGATGCTCAGAAGTCATAGGATGGTCATGGTCTATGAACACAGATAGACATGGGGAAAGACAAATACATAAATATATAGGATGGAAAAGTGAAGAACACTTCCAAAGAGCATAAAAGTAAAAGATGGAGAAAACAGTCTTTCAATTTGCCAGTGTTCTAAATCATGTTGCTGTGTTCAGATACCATGGGTGCTAGGTGCATAACAGACATGTAGCTTAACAGATACATTCAATATTCCTACCGCTTCTGTGACATTTAACATAAACATGTTCTGTTGGAAAAGCAATTCTTTATAAAGTGCTATTATCGTGCAATTGATTCCACCAGTGTGTCACAAAATCATTTTTGGATCAAATCCTCCTGGTCTTATTCTGTACAGATAATCCCATTGAAGTTATGAGTAAGGCTAATGGGAGCTGGCTCATTATGTTACTACGATTTGCATTTGATGCCATGGTCTTATTTCTAAATCTAGACTACAGACTAAATCTAGAGCTTTTGCTGTTAGTGTGTCATTTGGAATGTCTCCGTTCTTCTCTGACCATCTGTGACGGGACGCGCCGCCCCCGTCCCCCTGACGTCGGCCCGCCCCGCACTAAACCCGCGGTTGCCATGACCCTCCTGGGCACCACCCGGGGAGCGGGGCCGAGTTGCAGGGCCTGCTCCGCCGCCGCGGCCCAGCTGACGGGCGGCACGGCGGGGGCTGGGCTGACGGCGGAGCAACGACGCATGGCGGGGGAGGAGCCTACCGACGCGGTGCCTGACGTCATCAGGGCCGGACGTCGGCGCGGTTTTTAAAAACAGGCCCGGGGGAGCAAGAGAGGGGGGACGGAAGGAGAACGGAGGAGGGCGGAGAGGAACGGGGCATGAGAGGACGAGACGGAGGAAAGAGCGAAGGAGGAAGAAGAGAGGGACACAACACAAAAGGAGAGGACGAGACGGAGGAAGGAGGAAAAAGCGAAGGAGGACGAGGAGAGGGACACAACACAAAAGGGGGGCGAGGGTAGCACGAGTCGGTGAGGGGGCCTCGGGGTAATTGAGAGGGGGTAGGAAGCAGCCCAGGGCAGGCGAGCCCGGCGGGCCGGGGTGCTTCGGACAAGCACCGCCCCAGCGGAGCCGGTGGCCACTCGCCCGTCCTTAGGGCCCTGGGCTGGGGTCCGGGAGAGAGGGTGGGCCCGGACTCCCCTACCCCACCGCAGCGGAGGACCGGCACCCGGAGGCTTACCGGGGAACCTGAGACAACGGGGAGCAGGACTGGGCTCCCACGTTACACCATCGTACTTCTTCACTTGATCATTTGCTATTTCTAATACCATCAAATCACAAGGGGGCAGGTCCTGAGAGGTGCGCTTCAGAATGTATACATTCTGAGTTTCATGTATTCAGTCTTCTTTTTTGGGTGTGTCATGACAAGAGCAGGAGTGGTGAGTTTGGAGCATCATCGGCCAGCAGAATAGCTCCTAGGGACTGTGCTAGCCACAGCAACTGAAAGCAACTATTTTGTGCTGCACCAGGGGTTGTTTTGGCCCAGGCTCAGGATTGGAGAAGGCACAATTTAGGATTCAATTCCTAGTTTTAGAATGCAACAATCAATAATCAGAAATGTAATGTAGTTCAGAACAAGATGAGGCTATTGATGTTGAACTAGGTGAGACAGTATTCAAGTAACTGAAATGAGTCACACAGTCCTTCCTTTCCGGCAATGGTGTAAATGCCTTTGGAGAAAACAGAAATTTGCAGGCAGTATGCTAAAAAAAATCAAAATGTCTAATTATTCCATTCAGCCAAGTTGTGAGGGTTCAGGCCAGCATCAGACGGCAGTACATGATGATGGAGCAAGTTGACCTTCTCTGGCACAGACATGATTTCCTCAAGCAAATTAACCTTTTTCTCACCTATAGAGAGAACAACAAAAACAAAACAAAAAACCCCATAAATCAACTGGTAAATCTGTTATTTTAGAAAAGAGTAAATTCTTCCAATATACCCATACATCATTCATATAGACAGAAAAACAATTGCAAGCAAATCAGATTCCTTCTTTAATTGATTATGTTCACAAGTCTCTCTCAAGAAGAAAACTTGATCTGGTCTCAGTCAATATTCTGATGCCTGCTATTACTATCACATGCACCCTGCCCTCTTCCCCCCCGAATTTCTTTCCTACAAGTCACCCATCTTTTAATATATGGAAAATGCAAATCTTTGCAATTGCTTCTGCTCAGAATAAGACTTTCAGATATTGAGTTTTTAGGTTATCATAGCGAAAAGACCAGCTTAGATTTCGTAGGTGAAAAGCAAATAAAACATCTTAATGTTTGTGTTGTTGAGAGAGAGACAGGGAGGCTACGTCTAGACTGGTATGATTTTCCGCAAATGCTTTTAACGGAAAAGTTTTCCGTTAAAAGCATTTGCGGAAAAGAGCATCTAGATTGGCACGGACGCTTTTCCGCAAAAGCACTTTATGCGGAAAAGCATCCGTGCCAATCTAGACGCGCTTTTCCGCAAAAAAAGCCCCGATCGCCATTTTCGCGATCGGGGCTTTTTTGCGCAAAACAAATCTGAGCTGTCTACAGTGGCCCTTTTGCGCAAAAGCTTTGCCCGAACAGGAGCAGCATAGTATTTCTGCAAGAAGCACTGATTTCAGACAGTAGGCAGTCAGTGTTCTTGCGGAAATTGAAGTGTCCAGTGTAGACAGCTGGCAAGTTTTTCCACAAAAGCAGCTGCTTATGCGGAAAAACTTGCCAGTCTAAACAAAGACTAGTCAGCACAATGCAATATGGCTTATCACGTTAAGAAACAAATCCACAGAAATGCCAAAGAACATTTGAATCTCTGTTTCCCAAGTAGCCAATCCTTTCCTGGGCTGGGAAGAGGAGCTAATGGAAGAAAGAAAGCAGCAGGTTACAATTTAAAAGCATCTTATAACCTCAATGGTCAATCTTGGCAGTGCTCCAATAGTTAGCATAGAGGTTTGACACAAGCAGGGCTAGAGAACAGAGTCTATTCCAAGTCTAAGATTGACTTGGAACTTGGCAGAATACAGCCACTAAGAAATGCAAAACAAAATGACAGTTTTGGGAAGGCTGTGAATTGACATGCCTGAAGCTGATGCAGCAACTCACTGGCTCAATTTAAAATACTAGATTAGGCCACAGTTTCAGACTTTTACTCCTGGATCCTAATCCCTGTCTAATTCACTACATATTTTCACACTATCTAGCTATTAATTTCCTGAGGGGAGGAATGTTACAACATTAAGTACCCAACCTGAGAGAAAATACCTTTCTATGACACCTGAGATCTTTTCAGACATTCTCTGACATAAAAAACTTAAAGGCTGAACAAAACCAGAACTACTTTCACTTCTTTCTTGTGGGAGTTTCCACTAAAGAAATTACTGCTTCTTTATGCAGACTGTAGCCTGTCATACCACCTACAGAATGCAGTGCTGGAATAACTTTCAGATTAATTGCGCTATTTCCCTCATGTATAACTTTGCAGTTCCACTGTATGCCTCGTAGCAGGGGCTGCTGCATCTTGGTAACTGTCACATATTATTGGAGAAAAAGGTTGAAGTCACATTCCTTTCTTATCATCTGAGATGATTTGAATGTAAAATAAAAGTTATATTCAAATGTACAACCTAATTAAGAGTGGTTTCTTTGCAAAATGTCTCACAGTCACAAACCTCAGTGCTTCAGATACAGTGGAAATGCATAGCTCTTGACTTCACACTTAACTAGCCTAGGCATCAGGAAATTGGCTTTGTGAAACCCTTTTTCATGCTGATCTTGGGTCCTGGAATATTCAGAGGGGCTTTTGCATCAAGACGCTTTCTAAGCCCTAAGAAATTCTTCTTGTAAAATTTTAAATAAAAAAAAACTCAAAATTGCACCCCATTAAGGAGGACTGCAATAGGATGGAGATAAACAATTAGTCATCAGACACCTCACAACTTGCTGGGCTGGCTACTTGATCTGCATGTTCAACAAGAGCTTAAAAAGGTCAACATGCAGCTGTGGAAACCCAGTGCTCCTTCTATCTCCATCCCCTCAGCTACCTCCCCATTCTCTCAATGCATCTGGTCTCGGGGAGTGCAATGTACCCTCCCCAATGTTCTGCTGGCTACTCCCTGATCCTCTCTTCATAAACTGCCTCTTATAGACAGGGGAGCAGATTGGCACTCAAAGACATTAACTTGAAGTCTTCACTGCTCTGCTGCTCCTAGCAGTCCAAACGGAGCCTGATTCACCAGTCCATTCCTCCAGTTCTCACTGCTGGAATGCCAGCAAGTGTACCGATTATTTAAGCCAACTGTTGTCAATAAGAAAAAAAAAACCACTTGTGTCTTTGATAATTTAGTAATGACCAGATTGCATGCATGCAGCATGAAGATTGTCCATAATTGTAAAATGGCAACAAAATAGCAAAAAATATGTCATTATAATACTACTTATTGAAAGCCAGTAAACTGGGTGTATCATCAGCCATTTATAAAGGAGCTCCAGAATTTCATGATACAGTTGTGATAAGTCAAGTTTTTACTCTGAAGAATCAGACTGTCAGGCTGTTATTGCTTCTAAAGTCTCTTGCATTTCTTCCAGATAGTCTGATAAAAACAATTATCTATGCATATCTCCTGTTTGTTGCTACTGCACTTGACGCCTACATGGGCAGTTTGCAACGTTTTAAGCTGCAGTCGCTTTTTCTCTTTCTTCCCCTATTTTTGTGGCTTTTTTTTAAAGACTGTCTGTTAAATAATATTGTGCTCAGAATAAAAGCCAAACTGCAGAAGCCAAATCTCTCTATTGGCATTTGGAAAGCTGTTCTATCTCTAGAGGGTTGTGATATTCCCATACTGGCGGTCCTTGCACTGCACACCTGACTCCACTTATGTTCCCATTGATCCTTTTCTGGTTGATATTAATGCTCCTCATTAACCCAATGGGATTTTGCCTGAGTCAGGAGTGCAGAACTAAGTCTGCAAAGAAAAGTGTATTCAAAATGATCAGCACTGCTTTTTCTCTCTTCACTGTCAGCAGCCCCTTTCTTCTTTAACTGATAATCACTGAGATATCTAAAATTCTTCTTAGTATCTTAATTGCATTGACTTCTCATCTCACTTTGGGTTAGTTGCATGTGTAAAGATACAGATGGGTAAATTCAGGGGGGTGCCCCAATCCTACTGGCCCTAATATTTTACAAAGTGCTGAGCCCCAAGATTTTCAGTGGGAACTCATATTCCAAAACTTTGGTGCATGTACCTTTTGAAAATCAGCCCCATTTAATGAATCTCATGCTGACACACAAACACTGAGGCCCCGAAAATCACTGGATTTCTTTGAAAATCTTGGCCATTAAGTTTATTTCATACAATGTACATGGTGGCACTGGAACAGGTTCCAACACAAATACCTTTCAAGGTCTATTTGACTGTAAGCTCATTGGGCAGTGGGACCTCTTTTTGTCTGCATTTGTACAGCACCTAGCATAACAGGTGCAGTCAGTGTTTGCATCAGTACAAATAATGAACAAACTAATTATAATAATAGAGGTTACCTTCTATACTCTAAAATCTTATGAAGAAGCTTGCCATCCCTTTGGGGCAATTAGGACCTTTAGGAAATATACATACTTAAATTGGGAAATTTTTAATACCAGTCAAATGAAAATTGCAGATACAATCATATTTATTTCCTTAAATTTATAATGACTAATTATGATTTACTGGGAATGAAAATAACTTTACTTTCTATGATCTGCTCAGTCTTTTCATAAAACTTGCCCTCAAAGCTTGTTTTCATTTACTATTTAATCTTTTTTCCAATTATAGCTTTTGTGCTATTGTTTAGAGGACCTTATACACAGAGATATATAGAGTGCCTCTCCAATCTTCTCTCAGACTCTGCTTTGAATTGCCTGTTCTTATCTTCTAATTAAAATGACACATGGTGGTCGGAATTGGAAATCCTACTGAATTAAATGACACAAGGTGGTCTGGATTGAAATCGCACAAGAGTGCAGCCAAAACTGGGAATATTTTAACAGTGTCAAGTTACTGATTTCAGATCTCAGCATACTCTGGCTAAGCTGGCTAATGACCAGAAGACACACAGCCAATAGCCATTGGTGAGAGTGCTAATTCCTCCAGTGAAGAAAATACTAATATGTCATGTCACACTTTTAGCCAGCAGTTTGGCAAAGATCTCATATGATTTTTAAAAATATAAACCCATTCAACTAAATCATCATAAAAGCACTGAAAGGGAAAGGATGTTTTGTGCTAAAAAGCTTTAATGCACAATATTATTGATCGTAACTAAGATCTTATCAAATAAAGAAAAGACACACAGTTCTGTTTCTGTACTTCTTGAAGGGCACTGGAGGAAACAAATTATTCAGTCCCAACTACAACATGAACATTGACTGTGACTGGAGCTGGAATGAACATTTGCAATTAGATAGTATTTTAAAAGTGAAAACTGTTTTCAAATGAAGCAAAAACTGAACAAAGTTCATCTGGGTTGATTTTTCCTCAAAATGTTTATTAAACAAAAAACAAAAGTTGTTCCGGCTTTTGGTTCTTTGGTTTTGACTTTTGTCTTTCAGGGCACATCTACACAGCAAGGCTAAATTAGAAATAAGCTATGCAAATTGAGCTATGCTAATTGTGTAGCTTAAGTTGAAATAGCTTATTTCGACTTTTGGCACTGTCTACACAACAGTTATCTTGAAATAGAGCACTTTTCCCCTGACTTCCCTTACTCTTCATGAAATGAGGTTTACAGAAGTTAAAGAAGCCTGTTATTTCAAATTTATTTTGAAAAAATGGGCTTGCTGTGTAGATGCACACTATGTTATTTCAGAATAACCGATGTTATTCCAAAATAACACTGCTGGGTAGACTAGCCTCAGGGTATGCCTACACTTCAGCTAAAGCCCATACTGGAGCCAGGTCTCCAACCTAACCCTCTTTGCATCTATACTGCAATTGTGCTAACCCAGAGCTCAGATCCAGGGTTCCAGAATCGTACACGGTTGGAGGGTCCAAGCGCAAGTTAGGCTATGACACAGGATGTGAGCTCTATTGCTTTGCAGTGTAGATGCAGCCTCACTTGACTTGGGTTCTGGGGGTAAGTCTACACTACCACCCTAGTTCGAACTAGGGTGGTTAATGTAGGCAACCGAATTTGCAAATGAAGCCCGGGATTTAAGTATCCCGGGCTTCATTTGCATCTTGCCAGGCGCCGCCATTTTTAAAGCCCGGGTAGTTCGGACTACGTGCCCGCGGCTACACGCGGCACGGAATAGGTAGTTTGGATTAGGCTCTCTAATCCGAACTACCATTACACTACCGTTCTTTGAAATGGGACGAGGAGTAACGTTAATTCGGATTAGAGAGCCTAATCCAAACTACCTACTCTGTGCCGCGTGTAGCCGCGGGCACGTAGTCCGAACTACCCGGGCTTTAAAAATGGCGGCACCTGGCAAGATGCAAATGAAGCCCGGGATATTTAAATCCCAGGATTCATTTGCAACTTCGGTTGCCTACATTAACCACCCTAGTTCGAACTAGGGTGGTAGTGTAGACATACCCTGGGAGTCAGTCAGATGTATCCCACAATTCCACAGGACAGCTTTCTTAGAGTTCTGTATCTCAACAATCTGCAAACCACTCTACTGAAAAGGGAAGCCATCCCACCCCTGCAAATAGCAGCAGGTCACTGTTAACCCATTAACTTTTGATGAGTTATCTGGGTGCACACTATCAAGGAGTGAACTGATCAAGCTTTTTGCAAGAGAGGTGCTTGCTAATCAGAGGAGCTCAGCCAGTTTTCAGTGAATCTCTGCTACAAGGCCAGTAAAAAAAGCACACCAGGAATGACCTCGCATACCAGCAGACAGCTAAAAAGCTGACAGCTCTGCAGGTTTCTTGGCAAGTGATCAAAATGCAGGAAGTGTATTAAGAGGCTGAAGAGGCAATACCAGAAAACCAATGCCAATGACACACCCATTTTATGATGACTTTGACTGGGTCCTGGGCTCGGTGACCAGCGCAGAGTTAGTTAAACTTCATGATGACCCATGAGCTAGGATGGTGCCCTACTAGCCCTGAACCCAGCATGGGGACTGATGGGAGCCAGTAGCAGGCCCTCAGTCAGGAGCATGGAGCAATGAAACTAGTCCCAGAGGAAGTTGTTGATCAGGATCAACAGCAAATTCTTGGTGTCTGCTCAGAAGACGTGTCTGATTTCAGCCCCCTGTCTGAAGAACAACTCACTGCCTACAGAGAACCTGGTGGGGACAGAAGCTGCCCTGGAACCCAGTAAATGTATTATTACAGTAATAGGAAGGATTTCCGCTGTAAGAAACCATGCAAAAATTGTAAGCCCCAGCTACTGGTGTCTGGCCAGTATTGATGGATTGTATCACAAGAGAGCTGGGTGTCCCTCCCCTCCCCCCTTCCTACCCGATGAAGTGGAGTTCAAAATGGCAACTTGGAACTTCAAATGTTCATAAACAGTTGTAACAGGTTATTTTCATTGTTTGGAAATTTGCAATTCTGTAATCACACCTGCTGGATCTGTGTCACTACCTGTAAATAGTTGTTAATCACTGCCTGAGTGTGTGTGTTTGGGAAACAGTCTTCTTTTTCTAAATCCAGTCTATGTCAGTTAGAGGCAAATCCATGCTGAGGTGGAGTACAGCTGCAGTTTTCAGTGTGTTTGCGTTCAGCAATGTTGGAAAGTCACGTCTGAGCTAAGCCGGTATCATGTTAATTCCCTCCTGGATTCTGACCTAGTTCTGAATGCTGATTGGTGCAAACTTTTCCTGAAACAGGAACTCCAGATAGTCAGTCACATTGCAGAGAAAGTTGTATTTTCTAGGCCCTCATGGATTAGTCCACTCCACTCAGAAATGTGCTCACTACACTTGAATCTCTTTAATATGGCAATCCTGAGAAATAGATTATGCTGGATTGAAGATTTTCCTGGGCCAGGAAACACACTGCGAGGTCTGGGAATGAGGGGGTGGGCTTGGGGTGCTTATCTGCTGCCTCGCTTCCTGGGGCGTACGTGGCTCCCTGCTCCTCCCAGGCACCGCCTCCTGCTGTTATGGGAGCGATGAGGAAAAGCCTCAAGGGAAGTGGCTCTTCATGTTGCCGTTCTTCCAGCTGGAGGAGAGGGGGAGTGGAAGCACACAGAGTCACTTACTCCTCCATACCATGGGTATTCCTGGATTGGGAATACACAGAATATAGACGTTTATATGTATTTGAATATTCAGCTGCATACAGTGTAGGTTTCCCTTCAGGATCTTGGGGTATGTCTACACTACAGAGTTTTTTTTCGGAAAAAAACTCAATTTTTCAAAAAAAAAACCCTTCAATTACGTCCACACTGAAATTATGTTCTTCTGAAAGAAAATCGAAAGAACGAGGGGGAGGGGTTCTGACACTGATGAGCCTCATTCTATGAGGAAGAAAACAGGGAAGAGGGAGTTCTTTCTAAAGAAGAGGAAAAAGCACAGGTGCCCTGGTGGCTGCTCCATCCATACTAATCACAGCCGATATGTGAGATAGCATCCACACTGAATGTACACTATCTTTCAAAAAAGCAGATTGCTTTTTCGATGCGCTTTTGCAGTATGGATGCCCTCTTCCAAAAGTTTTTCTGGAAGATCTCTTCTTGTTCCTTGTTCCAAAATAAAAAGTGTAGTCTATTGTCGCTGCAGGGGAGGTGAGGGGGAGAGGGAAGGTGGAAGAGAGGGCAGGGGAAGGGAGGGGTATGGGAGGAAAGGCAAAGAGGGGCAACATGTGGGCATCTTGTAGGGAGGCCCAGTGGGGAATGTCACTGAGGTCCTTGTGCAAAACTCTCCCTCAGGGCCTCACAGATACACCCAGCCCCCTGATAGCCCTGCTAGATACCAGCCATGCATGGCTGCTCAAAGGCTATGCCAATCCGTTTGACCTCTGCCACCTACCCTGGCAGGATTGTCCCCCCCTTGCTTTCACAAATATTGTGAAGGACACAACACACTGCTGCCACCTGGGGGATGTTCTGCTCACCAAGATCCAACAGGGTGAGGAGACAACGGAACCTCCCCTTGAGACTTCCAAAGGCACACACCCTCAACGATACGGGCCCTGCTGAGCCTGGCATTGAAGCATCCCTTGCTTTGGTCCAGGTGTCCAGTGTAGGGATTCATTAGCCAGGGAGCAGAGAGTAGGCTGCATCCCCAACAATATAGATCGGCATATCCACATCCCCAACCCTGATGGTGCAGTCAGGGAAAAAGATGCCAGTGTGCAGCTTTTGAAAGAGACTGGAATTTCACTTGTGTCTTGTGCCTTCCCCGACCACACGATGTAGAAGTCTGTGAACTGGCTGCGGTGGTCAGTGAGGGCCTGCAGGAAAAGTACCACTTCTGGTTATTATATTCAGATGCCTGGTGATCAGGAACCCAGATGGGGATGTGGGTGCCATCAGTAGCCTCACCTCCCCCTGCAGTTGGGAAAGCCCATGGTGGCAAAGCCAGAGATGATGGGGTCCACGTCACCCAGGTTGATGACTCTGCACTGCAAGACACTGTTGATGGCCCTCACCACCTGTAGAAGAAGACAAACAAGCAGAGAATCACAGGGTTGCTAGGAACCTCAGGAGGCCTCTGAGCCCAACCTCTCGCCTTTCCCACACACACACCAGGAGGAACCCCAACTTGCCTCATCCCTCCTAATGGCTTTGTGAAGGCGGGACTGAAAAACTTCCCAGGCAGGGGGCTTTCACCCCCTCTCCTTCCATCTCTAGGGAACCCCATTCCAGCAGTTCACCACACTCCTTGGACAATAGCATCAGAGCACCATACCTGCAAGAGCATGGCCCAATTACTCGATATCCCCATGCCAAACTGATTTCCAATGGATCGGTAGCTGTCCAGCATGGCGAGCTTCCAGAGGACGATGGCTACCCCCTTCTGGAGGGAGATGGCAGGTGTCATATGGGTGTCCAATAACTGGAGGGCAGGGGCGAGATATTCACATAGGTGCAGAAAGGTGTCCTTCCACATACGGAAATTCTGGAGTAACTTCTGGTTGTCCCACCACTCAAGGATGATCCGGTCCCACCAGTCGGAGCTGGTGTCCAGTCTCCAGAAGTGGCAGTGCATGTTGTGCAGGGAAGGATGGCTGGAGTCGAGCTACATGAGCAACACTCAGAGAGAGGTGAGGAATTGTCCCATAAGGAGCAGCGGGGTCCTGTTCCTGCAGGGACATGAAGGCAACCCACAGAAACTGCAGCAAGAGGTGCAAGAAGACATATAAGAGCCGTCGACTGCTCAGAGGCAGGAGTGCTGGGGTGTCCACAAGGGCAACCACAGCAGGCAAAGAAAAGGCTTTGCTGTCCCTCAAGGAGTTAGGCAAAGGAGACGAGCTTGAGACACCACTGTACAGCGGGTCCCTTTAAGCTCAAGCCTCAGACAGCCTCAGGCAGCAGCTCCAGGAAGTGACTGCTGTCCTGATGCCCTACCTGAAGAGCTTCCGGGTGGCCTTATGTGCAATTCAGTGTCCAGTAAGTGTGCACGCTCTATTTTGAAATAGCAAATGCCCATCAAAATAGCACTGAGCTGTGTAGACACACTATTTTGGAGTATTTCCTCCAAAATAGCTTATTCCAAAATGAGTGTGCAGTGTAGGCATGCCCTGTGAGTCCACATTGTGAAAACATAAAGTATCTGTTTTCTGCTGCTTGGTGCAGTCAGCTCCTGCAGTGGTAACTGCACTTTGTGGATGAGGTATTGAATCCAGCAACCCCCCGCGCTGTCACAGGTTCTTTCAGGGGGCAAGGGTTCACGCCTGGCTTCACAAAGTTTGTGAAAAGTACAGCAAGCCACAACAATGTGGACATAATTGGTGACACTATGATCTAGATGAGATTGTAGACACATCTGCCAAAAGGGGATTCAACAAACATGGTACACCTGCCAAGAGTGTAAAATTAAGCCTTTTTTGCCATGACCTCTGAAATCAGGGTACAGTTTCATAAGCTAAGGGTGTGTCTAGACTACCTAGTTTTGTCGACAAAAGTGGACTTTTGTCGACAAAACAATACCAGCGTCTACACTACCGCGGAGTTCTGTCGACATAACGTCGACAGAACTCCGCGGTTTTGTCGACGCTGGTATACCTCATTTTACGAGGCAAAACACCTTCTGTCGACAGAGTTCTGTCGACAGAAGGTGTTATTGCCTGTAACACTGCGTCCAGACTACGGAGTTCTGTCGACAAAGCGGCTTGCTTTGTCGACAGAACTCCATGTGTCTGGACGCTCTTTGTCGATGGAAGTTTTGTCGACAGTATCTGTCGACAAAACTTCCGTCGACAAAACGCGGTAGTCTAGACGTACCCTCAGTCAACAGGAGGTATACAAGATCCCCCAGATAGAGAGGAAATGTGCCAGCGTTGTTTCACTGAAAGTGCTGGAAGAGAAGAGGGAATAAAACAAATTCAGCTTGTCATAAGAAAGTGCAACTCAAACTGAAGACTTATGTTGCTTGTGCCAATCTAAGTTTGGCTGACAGAGAGGAGCATGTGAACTCATTTCACCTTACTTTGAGCCAACTCCATTATTGTTGTTTGACCCAACCATTACTGGGTTTGAAAGGGAGAAGGGGCTCAGATTCTGCAAGTCTTCACACAAAGCACACTTTTCCTTTTAGCTAAGAAAAAAAGAGGGGGTTGGTAATTCAATCACATTTGAAAGAGGCTAATTATAGGAAAAAGATTCACTGAATTATTTTTTTGTTTAAACCCAAAATATAATTTAAATGAACCACAATATCTCATGTTTTTCATAGATCACCCATCTCTTCCCTTCACTCTTCTCCTTATATATTCACTTATGCTACAGAAAGTACTCACTATTCCTTATGAAAGTGCATGTGGAGCACTAGCAGGCAATTATTCTCAAGTACACTTCCCTAGCAGTGTAAGGCTGAGATTAGCATAGTTACTAAAACTTATGTTGGTGGCACTGTATTTAAACAATGTAGATATGTCAGTACCAGAAGATCTTGAAATTGGGGATAAACAATAAGCCTCTTATTCTCACTCCTGCCAAATCAAATGAGAGGAAATATTAAACATTCTATAATTCTCTTTCATCAAACACTGCTACTTCTCTTTCAATAGACACCCACCATAGTAAATTGAATTAATTTGCATTTGTGTTGACTAGTTTTCCAAATCTACATACCTCAGTTTTGTATCTCAATAACTAAAGAAACCCAGAAAAAAATTCAGATATTACTATAAAAATAACACGTAAAATATCAAATGATTTTTCTTTTAAATTGGAAACAGCTATAATTACTTTTACCTTATATGTACTTTTATGCTTAAGAAACATGACCTGTCTTTTAAGTTTTGTATTTCCTATCTGCAGCCACCAGAGGGAGAAATCACTTACTGGAATCTCATGGTTTCAAGTTGATTTTTGGAACAGCATCAGAGATATTACTGTAATATGAAAAATCTCGTTCCATGTGTAGTAAGTATGAAGAACACAATGAAGAGCATCTAAAAACAAAGTAAAATACACTTTTTAAACAAATAAACACCAAGTAAAATCTTCAAACCTTGCTAATTTAAACACTCTGTTAATAGTTCTTGCTTTGCTTGAATTACAGATCCTTCTATTATATTTATTCCCATTGCATTTAGGGGATGGGAAGAGATCAGTGTACTGGTTTTCCATCATTCTACAAAGGCTAGATTCTAATAACTTAAACTAACTACGATGGAAATATCATAAAATTATCTAATAGAACTAAGGGACTTTGGAAATCCACTTTTGATTGAAAACAAACCTAAGCAGTTACATTTTTGTTTATATAAGTTGGACATTTTAAAATCTTTGATGTACAATCCTCCTTTCTACTCCATCAACCGCACCAAAGATACTTTTATTGGTTAAAGCATTTGCTTGTGGTGTTGTACCTTAAATACTTCAAAGATATTACTAGTTCCTCATGCTGACAAAGGCCATTTTGGTATGAAAAAAATATTGAGGCTACATTTTCAGATGTAAGGTGCCCTCATCCTTTCCTGGTTCATTTGGAGATTTCAGTTCCAAATCCCATGGGGTCTGTTTCCCCAGGACACTCTAGCTCCAAGTGTGCTCTATGGTATCTCTTATCAGTGGTTCCTGCTCTGCATAGGAACAGATTTCCATGTTGCAGCTCTCAAGGGAATGCAGGGAACTGTGTTATAGTCAATGCCTCACTACAGTTTTAATGTATCTTCATAGGGCAAGAAAACGGCATCCCCTTTTCCCATCACCCCCACCCCAAAACCCATTAAAAGCAAACAGAACATCAGGAACAACAGAGCATTCTGCTGTGCCTTACACTAAGTAGATGGGCCTGGACTGAAGCTAGCTTGACATCATTATTATAAAGCAACTCAGTAGCTAAAATTATTGCTGGTAGTTCCTATATTTAGAACTCATAGTCCTCAATGGATTTTTATTATGATTATTATTATTATTATAAGGACAATGCTTTTATGGGTTTAGGACCCTAAACATTTCCATTTTCTCTCCACGCCATCCTGGTGGTTTTCAGAGGCTGTATATTGGAAAACTGTTGAAGGTGTTCAAGTCATTTGTTTCATAAAAGGTATTCCAGGTTAGTTTTTCTTTCTAAAAGGATTTCCACATGCCTTAAGAAATTTTGGTGTATGCCGTAAGTATGTCAGTCACAAACATTTCCTTTAATTGCAAAGTTTTTCTGTACCGGAATCTGTTCTACAATGATTCCACAATTTGCATTCTCACACAGTATTAAATGAAACCCTCATGCTTAAATAAGTCCATTGCCATTCCTGTAGTGCAACTCAGCTTGGCAGAGGCCAGACTCCATGATATCACTATTTATACTTGGCTACAATAGTAAATGTAGGAACATAGGAATTCCCATTTTTGGGAATTAGCTTTGATCAATTAATGGTATTAACATTTTTAAATCCTACATCAGTTTGAATGATCAGTAGCTTATTAGTGTTTTAAAAATGCATCTCAATGACTTTAGATGGCAGTTTAAAATTGTTCACATATTACAGTGAAAAAGACAAGAAGTGTCATGGACATGTTTGAAGCCAAGTGGGATTGTGGAAGTGTGGCACCTCTGATCCTCCTGGCCACATTTTGATACCTTTGCTCATACTGAATAGTATCTTGCACCACCAATAGTCCCAGTCCCTTTGTAGGTCAGAAAAGACGTCAGATTGTGACTCTAAAATAGCAAGGTCAGATGTAGGATAAGGTTATGTTGCCCTGGCACACTGACTAGTTCATAACTTTGTAGGGACCTCCACTGAAATCATTGGGGCTACTCAAAGAGGCAGGGTCTACACAACTGGAGTATGAATGGCGAAACCTACCTCGCCATTTCTTTGTCTTGTAGGGAATATTTATTCCTGGCTCCTTAAACAGGGGGGCTGTGTTTAGACTGGCAGCTGCTTTTGCAGAAAAACTTGCCAGCTGTCTACACTGGCCACTTGAATTTCCGCAAGAACACTGACGATCTCATGTAAGAAATCAGTGCTTCTTGCAGAAATACTATGATGCTCCCATTCGGGCAAAAGTCCTTTTGCACAAAAGCTTTTGCGCAAAAGGGCCAGTGTAGACAGCTCAGATTTGTTTTCCGCAAAAAAGCCCCTATCGCAAAAATGGTGATCGGGGCTTTCTTGCATAAAAGCGCATCGAGATTGGCCACGGATGCTTTTGTGCAAAAGCGCTTTTGCGGAAAATTGTCCGTGCCAATCTAGACGCTCTTTTCCGCAAATGCTTTTAACGGAAAACTTTTCTGTTAAAAGCATTTGCGGAAAATCATGCCAGTCTAGACGTAGCCAGGTTGTGAGCAGACATTTTTCCTACAAGGAGCACTGGGATGCTTTGTGCCCCACAAAGGGATAATTCCTCTTGCAGGCCCCCTGTTTCAGCAGAGGCAGGTATATTCTGTGGTGCTTCATTTCAGGGTGCAGCACAGGAAGTGGGGAGGCTGGAGCCATGGTTCTGCCACCTCCCTGCCCTCCCTGAACAGTTGCTTCTTAGCATTTGGCAATCAGCCCCTCTGCTGCCCTTGGCACACAGCTCTGATTATATTTTCCTGGCTTCTGACTGCAGGGAAAACTCTTCCCCCAGTGGTGCTGATTGCACACGCACAACTCAAGCAGTTCTTGTCAACAGACCTACTATGGCAGAGTGCCGACCGCAGCCAACCTTCAGCAGAGCTCCCTGCCAAAATCCATGGGAAGGTTACTGCTTTTAATGGCCAGCGAGGCCTGTGCAACCAGCTGAAGGTCAGCACCTGAGTGTCTGATAACCCCAGGCTGTTAATGAGCAGGTTTTGATACTCCCTGCTTCAGTGTTCACACCCTGCCCAAGACTCATCCATTTTGGTCTACAAAATTTCATAACAAAACCCTCCATACCAAGTGAAATTCATCTAGTTTGAGATTTCAGGAAATGCCCAAACTAGGCACAGTTGAATGGAGGGAGATGAACCCAGATTGAGCTTCATGCAGAAGTACCCCCATCCCACTTGGGGTGGAGGGATGAGGGAGGGATTTATGGTGTTGAATAGTTTTGGTGTAACCCACATACCTACTGAGTGTGGTTCACTGTCCAATGTAGTGGCACTTCGACCACTTACAGAGGAAAAGAATGAGTTTCCTCTATGGCTTTAGCTGAGAGATAGGCTAAGGTCATAGTGTAAACTCATTCTTTCACCGTGTAAGTGCTTTAAGTGCCACTACATGGGACAGTGAACCTCACCCAGTAGGTGTGTGGATTACATTGGTTCTAAACTAGGATCAAGCTGGCAGCGATGGATAGCTTTCACTTTGAGATTCAACTCTCAGGGAACGTCTACACTACAACGTTAATTCGAACTAAGCTAATTCGAACGAACGGATCCAGACTAAAAAACTAGTTTGAATTAGCGTTTTGCTAATTCGAACTAGCATGTCCACATTAAGTGGACCCTGAACCGGGGTTAAGGATGGCCGGAAGCAGTGCCGGCAGGGCATCAGAGGAGGACTTAGAGCGTGGAGATGCTGTCTCAGGCTAGCCGAGGGCTGTGCTTAAAGGGTCCCGAACCCCACCCCGGACAGACAGTTCTCAGGAGTGCCCCGCTTGCAAAGCAGTCCTGGCTCGGATTGCCCGAAGTACCCACACGGGGCACATCACAGCACTCGGCCATCAGCCCGGCTGCACTTGCCGCAGGCTGCCATCTGGGGAGAGGGGGCAATTGGGGGGCTGCAGGAGAGCAATAAAGGGCAATTGTGTTTAAAAATGGAATCTGTCTTTATTGAACAAAACTGGGGGAGACTGGAAAAAGGAGGTGGGAGAGGGGAGGGCAACTAAAATGATCAAGGGTTGGGAACAGGTCCCATATGAAGAGAGGCTAAAGAGACTAGGACTTTTCAGCTTAGAAAAGAGGAGACGGAGGGGGGACAGGATAGAGGTCTCTAAAAGCATGAGTGGGGTGGAGAGGGTGCATACAGAAAAGTTCTTCATTAGTTCCCATAAAGAAGGACTAGAGGACACCAAAGGAAAGGAATGGGTAGCAGGCTTCAAACTAATAACAGAAAGTTCTTCTTCACAAAGCAAA